AAGTCAGCTTCTTAATGCCTCTATGTCATATCATGGTCTGACCGCCGCTGCGCTTCTTCCAGCCTTGCCCGGCACGTGCAAAGAGAGCACGGAAAGGTATTCAATGGGCAGGCATACGCCAAACCTGTCCAAGCCGTCGGAGGCGGTGTAGAGCGATTACCTCTGTTAGAGGACGACTATCCGCACTCAGCACACGACAATGAACCTCGTCATGACTCACCCGGTGTTTCCACCAGACACGAGCAGTGCTTCGGAGACATCAGTGGTGGAATACAGAAAGTCAGTTAGCATCCTCAACGCTGAGGGGCCAGGTTTCGCAACCGTGAAGTAGAACACTACGTTTCGCGGTGATGTAAACCCGTCCCGTAAGGGACAGTGGCGCCACATATGTCGCAGGTTAGCGAAAGCAGCTCTAGCTTTCGCTATTCGGGACGTAATCTCCTTCCCAACACCAACATCAGTTGCGATCAAGCTCCCGAGGTACTGAAATCTCTCAACTACTTCCAGGTAATCACAACAGAGTGAGTGCAGGTACAAGCTCCTGCCAGTCTTGAACAAGCACTTTGCACTTGGAAAGTGCAAAACACAACATACCTGTATACCTCGATCGCCAAGCGGTTCTAAGCGTTTTGGACTGTCTATGTATTGTCACCCAGCGGGGCGATGTCAACGGCATATTCTAAGTTAAGGACTCTTCCCTGTGAGGAGTTCGAATCCACCGTTCTCTAGACCGGACAAAGCATTCTGTAGAACATCCTAAATTACAAAGTTGAAAAGGAATGAAGATATAGGGCAGGCTTGTAGAACTCCACTGGAAACGGCGAAAGGTGGTGAAAGCTGGCCATAGGCCCTAACCCGACCTGAGATATGACGATTCAACTCTTCAAGGGGCGACACATACTTCTCAAGTACTCCATTCTTCAACAAACGATTCCATAGCGCGGTCCTATCGACAAAGTCTAACCTGTGCGAGAAACTGACGCTGGTGGCCAGCTAAACTATGCTTTTAAGTGCTCCGCCCAGCGTGTAAGACGTCGCTGTTGACTACGAATGGGCGAACCGTCAGATTCTCAGATCGTTTCCTACTGGTGGACCGGATGAGATGGAACGTCTTACGAGAATTACCCATGGCGGCAGCCCGTTCCATCTCTGGTGCTCTTTGGGTCCACCAGATCTCACGGTCTTTGCGTAGGCTTGCGTTAAATTCACGTTTCGTTACGAGTCGTGTTTTATTATGCTCGCTGTAGGTCGGAATCGATCGACGTGCATCAAGAAGGCGAAGAGACTCAGCAAAAATCCAGGGTGTCATGACACGGCATGTCAGATCACAACTGACTAAGCCAGCAGAATGCACAACATTCTTGGTAAGCGACCAGTGCTCACTGACGTTGTCAGGTGAGCTTGGTTCTAACTTTTAAGCTAGCGCGTTTTGAAGGACGGCTGAGAATGCTGGTTGATAAAACTTATCGCAGTCTAACCGCCGCTGTGGCGTACGTTTAGGACGCCCACCGAAGCACATGGATAGCTTGGTGCAAACTAACGCGTGATCGGATTCGAGGGTAGTGCTCCAGTACGATCCGCAGTCTTGTATGCAACCCCGTCATTTGTGGTTTATGGCGATGTGGTCGATCTGCGTCCGTCACTGACTCGAGGAGGGTGGGTGCCGCGAGGCGTACCGGCAGTTAGAGCGTCTGAGGTTCAAACTGGGGAGGAACAGGCGGTGGTCAGAACATAGAACCAGCAGCCTTTCCCCGTTTTCCAAGCGACAGGATGATGGTAAAATTCATCTTTGACTAAATCTGGGCTGCAGTCCGTTGAGGCGTACTCCGATACGACAAACAAGTTTCGTCTATCGTGGCGACGGCTGCTTACCTTGCACGAACCTCTGAGTCTCACTGCGCACAATCTACTGTCGACTGGGATCCAATCCGGGAGGGGTTTCAACTCTCTCACTAAGAACCAGGCCAACACCAGCAAGAACAGAAGCCGCAGCTTCATGGTCGCCAGAGTGTTAGTGAAACTTCACACATTGGTTTGATGGGGAAGTCATTTTGATAATAATGCTGGAGTCTTGAATACGAGGTTTTTGGATGCAACACACATCGATGGCTAGGGTTTCGAGCGTGCGAGTTAAATACGCCTGCTGTCCTATACGTATCAGAGTACACACATTAAACGTGGCTAGTTTGAAAGGACATTGAGGGCGAAGAAGGGCCTTATCTGGTGGAGGATTTAGTGAGACTTGGATGCTAGTCGAGGTAGGACAAGAGCGAACAGCGGCGGAATTTCCAACCGGAGCTCTACTGTTAGTACGATCATCTGAAGGATATGAGACAGGTGAAGTGTTGGGGGGAGAGGTGAGATGGGGGAGGCTGGGTAAACAAGAGGGTGTGTGCGGGGTAGAATGTTTTTCGCTCGATGAGGAAGCTCCTGAGTACAGAGTTATAAGGTTAAGAGAGTTCATGGTTGTGTGCGTTGTGGGCTGTTGTACAGCTCGGTCGCTCGGTTAAGAGTAGGCCTTGTTCGAGGATGCACTCTTGCCTTTGCGCAACCAAGCGCAGACTGCAATGAGGCAGTGATGCTCCAGATGAGCCGGTGGCCGGTTTTTGGTTCATTCGCCCCTTGTGGAAAACTTTGTCGGGCAATGGATCTCAACAAGGGGTAATGACCATATTTAGTGGCCGACCACACTCACCACGTCACAGCGCTGTCCACGGATATCTGTGGTGTTTGTACGAAAAACCCTTGCCAGAAGCTATACCCACCACATCCTGAGTGCTACCGCTGATCGTCCGTGACCGTTTATTAGGTGAGCCGAAGCCCACCATATTCACGGTTAGCAGCGAGATGACTGCCGTTCCCCTATCCGCGACCAGGGGAGGCGCTCGGTAGCATGCAGCTCTGCTCTCCCGATACTCGGGTGGTTATACTGATGCTGTGTTTGATACACTAGGATCAAGTCTCCCGTAATTGGCGCTGTTCAAACGAATAGACTCCGAGACTATGCAGTCTTTCAAAGAAAGTTTCGGATTGTAACCCTCTGACCATTTTGGTTGCTGTTCTCTGCCAAAGTTAGAATATTTTTTAGTCATGAACTTACCGTGGATTCCAAGCCTCGCATACTGGGTTTGTGGTTTGATATAGGCTGATAGGAAACGGGATATAAGGCCTGCTTCAAATGATCCTAAAACAGGTTTTAACAATCCACCGTGCCTTATGGCCCTTGATGACGCTTTTGCGCAATATGTGAAACATCCTAGACCCTCATCAGAAATAATTACCAGATCCTTTTCGTTTGAACAACACGGTGATATAGAATGCAATAGCATAGACGCGATTAAAGCATCGGTACACCAGGTGACTTGCTTTCAAATGCTGATTCTTCAGAATCGCTCGTTCACTGTAATACCTGGTATTCCTGATATCGTGTATGTTCTTCCAGGGTTCCTTTATTTCTCATCTCCATCGGCGCAAATTAAGGGGCTCACAGATTGACTCAAAGTTGCTTATCCAACTTTCTGAACGTATTTCGCTAAGCGTAAATTGAAGACGTTTGCGATTGTGTCAAAAGTATTATCCGAAAACAACTTTGAGACCGGTTTGAAACCCTCTGCTATTATTGATACGGCAAAAGGTCTTTCTTTTCTCTACTCTAACTAGCATCTCATTGAATTAATTCTTTACACCTCAAACATTTGATATTTGATAAACATTGTCTGGTTAATAGGTACAACAATTACAAGGAAGACCCGCTATCCCGTTGCAATTGCACACCACCGTATTCCGCGGATTTGGCCATCGCTTCTCGGTCTGATCTGAACGACCCGAACGGATCGTATCCGTTGCATAATCTGGGATTTCGGTTGCATGGTGCCTCGGATGCTAAAATCACTAATATGGCTATGTTGGAGACGGTAAGTAGAACCGATAAAAGGTTGAAACTATATGATGTAAGGTCATGGGCACTGACGCCAAAATTTCATGGTCAGAATTTAAATTCCGCATATATATCTGGGGTCGTTGTTTTACCATTAGTTATATCATGGCTGCAACGTTTGTTTCGCGTGATCGAAGCCACCGAGGCTACTGAGCTTCTCACAATTCCAACATGAAACTTCAATCTGTCAAACAATCATTTGAAGAAGCCTTTGAAATCATTAGCATATCTAAGCGGTGGTAGTGAGTTCATTTATACTCACCATTACTTGTAAATCTTCGTCTTCTTCTACTCCTCCCACTACTACCACAACCAATATGTATCTCAATTGTACCGGATTGGCGTCCGATGATAGATTTACTGGTGTATACCAAACCCCGAATCTGCGGAAGAAAACAAGGTTGGGATATCTACGTGTATTATTGCATAATTAGTGGAAATAAAAAGGCGTACCTCAAATTAAGGGCAACCCGGTCTGGACAAAACAATCGGTCGGACACGACAGAGGCAAACTTGCGAGGAATACACTCTCTTGGAATTCGGAGTGGAGGAATGCGATGTGAATATAGCGACAGTACTATTTTAAGGGCGGTGAGTACCATTCACAGGAATGAGATAGCAAAATGGCACCAAAGGCGGGTGTGGGGCGACAGGTGGCAACCTTAAGCGGGATGTAAGTAAGGGAATAGACAACAGACACGAGGAGGGTGCCTGGGATGGTTAAGCCTACAATGCGGGCGGTAGCATGTGGGTCAGGAGATAACTGATTATAAGAAAAGAATGAACGGTGAATGAATGACAAGAGGGAAGACGGTAAGATAAGAATAGCGGGTGGGTGATGAACAGGTGGCCACAAATAATACGAGGCAGTTTCTATACTGGGTCGAGATAATAGATAACGATTACGGGTTGAGCGCAGAACGAGTGACGAGGAACCGGTCACGACAATTTAATTGGAAGTTGCTGTGTTGGGCGGTTGGGTAATCATAAAGGGGATTGGGAAAAGTGCAAACTAAATGGCTATGGAACGGGAACGTAGCAAGTTCCGATCCGGCCGGCAAAGATCACCAAAATGAGAGTTGGTTAGAAACCCAGCTGAATTGAATACAGATAGGTCCGGTGTACGTAATTTCAATCACACAATAAAGCATATTACATCAATCTTTCACCATTCGTTTCAGCTCGATTTCCTGGCAACCAGTGGTCCACCTTACACCTCTGTGCCTGCATTTCAATGGTCCAAATTGCCAATCCATTACGACAATCCGGAAATGCAACCGGATTTGTGGAAGTTCCAGCCTTGCCTTACCAATTTCACTGGGCCTGTACAGGCTTATCGGGCGAAAAGATTGATCGCACCGTCTTTGAAACCAACATTCTGATTTCGTTTTGTAAATCATTTTGATTTTACAGTGTTCAAACATATGTTTCCACTCATTTCATCCTCCCAACTGAAACTTTTACATTCAAGAACACGTTCATCGCGAAGTGATGAAGTCACAGTTCTGATTCAACAGTTTTAGACTTTCAACAAATGGACCGACACGATCTGTTTTCGATAACTGGATGACTGATGGAGAATGTGTCGACACACACGCACACACACAACACATGTGGGTCCTGTTTTTTTTCAGTATGTCAGTGGTTTCTTATTATTGAACATGCTGAGTAAAATCTATTTGCGTACTACTTTGTGAAAACAGATAAAATTGTAAAATTTTCTCACAGGGGGAACAATCCGTGACTAATGCGGTAGGCTGAGGGTCGAAGATTTATGATGCAGAACGATTAAGCCTAATCCTAGTGAAAGGCAGTGCGTAAACAGGGGGAATAGGTTACAGCAATAATCAGAGATTGATCGGAACACCACTGGCGAATATTTTTAACAATAGTAACAATTATATTGGTATTGTGAAGATTGACAAACGTACGATGGAGTATGGTCTGAGTAGGTTTTGGGGTTTTTAGCTGGGCTCCCTTCCCTTACACCTCTCGGAATGCTTCTGTACGACCAAGCATTTCAAACAGCCTCTAAGGAGTAAGCCTTACTCACTGCCTTTTCGTAGCTAAGGTGTTTTCCCCTACCAAAGGGGAAAGGACGAATAGCCGACATCTGGGTCTATGAACGAGTTGATGAACTACTATTGGTAGTGCGCCCAGGGGAGATGGATACAAATCCTGTATTGAAATCAACTAAGAAGAGGTGGACGAACCCCCCTGCCCCCCCCCTCCACAACTTTTTGATTGTGGAATTGGTCACCGGATCGATTGAGCATCGAGATATATTGGGCACTTTGAACGTTTGACCCCATCCAAAAGGCGTATGATCCGATGAGCTGGATATCGGCCCCCCATTGGATTACGGTTTTCACACACTGCCCCGCTGCCTTGTGAGTCAGGCTTTGGCTAGACAAAGGCTCCGGTTGTGGATTCCTCAAGAAAATTCACCTGTCTTGGCCTGGGCAACCTGACAAGATTCCGCCAAAGGGCAAATCCTGGGACGTCTTTCTTTTTCATAAAGATTCGTGCACTATGATTTGTTTGGCACAGTCTGACCTCAGACGTGTGAGAAAATATAATACAATAATTGTAGTATTCGGAATAGGAATCGAAATCGAATAGCGCGAACTCGGTATCGGACTGAAAACCCACTGAATAGCGCAAAGTCAGGTAGAACCAAGACGACCTGTGGATACAGTTAGTTCTATTCAGAAAATCATGAAAATATATGTCACAAGCAACAAACAATCATTGGTCGATTCTTGGTTGTCCAATCGACAACGATATGGTTTATCTGTTTGCCTTCTTGCACTCAACCAATCCGCATGATGCCAATTGAGACCACAGGGTTGGTCGGTTATCCCGCTTCTTGATTGGTTACCTGGAAGCTGTACCGCGGTGCATGCGTACTCGTTACACGATCACCACAATAATCTACCAACAGATGGTGAAACTCAGAACGTCGTTTGCTATGCCGGTACGGATGTTTTTCCCATTTGTTCCCAGACCCGAGCCTGATGGTGATCCAAACAGTTTGCTGTCTTTGGCTTACTGTTATGTTTAGAAGAGAGGGATGCATCCGGTTTAATATATGAATATAAATACATATTATACCTCATGTTCAGTGACTGGAAAACAACACAATCGATGAAGGCACATGTCTAATGTTGATGGATTCAGTTACCTAGTTATTAGCTCACTGGGCGAGTCATGATGCCCGCGTTTACGTCACAAAGATGGGGTTATGCCCCGTTTTGCCTAGGCGAAATAGGGCACGGTCTGATGAGCTGCCTGGTAAGTGGTGTGTTTGCTTTCTACTCGTGAGGTTCACGGATCCATTCTCAGTTGATTTAATGAACATGTTCTGCTGAGACGCCTAACCAGGTCAAAACATTCGTTCGGTGCTTCGTAGGTTTTCCATCCACGCCTCGTTTGCTCTGTACATGATGATCTCCAATACACCAATAGGCCTTTTTATATGAATAGTTGGTCGTGTAAATGAGGCTTGAGCTGAAAAGTTGGAATGCACTAGACAGCTGTTTCGATCTGGTATGTTCTCATCAGCAGCAGTGTGCGAATCCATTGATCAAACTGGGGGTCACGAACCCTCGACCTCATAGGCAGTACGCAAGCATATAGCCACCGGGCAACTGATCAAACAGGTTTTCATTTTGAATATATACGATGAAGCACGAAATCACCCGCAATAGAGGAGATTCATACCAGGTAAACAATACATAATATTCGATGTGTGCGAATCGAAAAAATCATTTTTGCAATGAAAACAAATTTTAGCGATAGTTTGATTAAATTGATAGGGCTACTGCAAAATAACATGATCACACAGAGGGCATCATTGAGCAGCCTCATTTTTGCTTATACCTTTGTCAAAAATCCTGTCGGTGAAAGGCTAAGAACCGTTATCAATAGAATTACTTCTAGGTTATTGATTGTATTCTATTGAAACTATTGTTAAAGTTTCACGCTGAAAACGTTACAACATGCACATTCAGTTTTGTCACTCATGTCTAAATATCAATAGACTTGAGGAGAAGAAAACTCCCACTAAATTAGCCTGACCTTCGTTTTACGTGGATGTTTGACATGTATTGTTCTTCTCTGAGAGCATTTCATTTTTTTTTGTCAATAAAACTCTTCAGCATTCTTTCACAATGTCCGTCATTTTTCAAAATAATGAAGCCATTTACTGCGAAGGCTAACCATTACGGTAGTTTCCCATCCACCCCCAAGTTACATGTTTATATCACGTTTTATTGTCTTCTTGTCTGACAAGATGAAAAAATTAACGTCCTACCGTACCGTAATGACATTATTTTCAATTTTCAACGCCATTCCCCTCATTCATGTAAAGGCCCTGTTTTGTTTTATTGCCCTCTGTTACGAGATTGCATATGACCTAAAATATGGCACAATTTCCGGTGAATTGTGTCTTGCGTTTAGCTCTCTGTACACCTTTCTGCTGCAGGTCACATCACACTACAAACACTCGTATCCGACTGTGTTCTCTATCCGTTCTCTCCTTGGGAAAACTCGTAATAGGTCTGATCGATAGAATTGGTGAACGCGTCATTGCTCAGCCCGTCTTAGGTGCTAAACGACTTGCTTCAGTTTCCAAGTGGATGTCAATCGCAACTGACAGAACGCTGCGACAAAACTCAATTCAGAAATTGTTCCTTCAATCTAAAGTTAGACGACAGTTAACCAACAATACAAGGAACGATACACACATAAGTATCCCACCGCACACCATCACAATAAAACCGTCCTCGGATGGATGTCAGACGGGAAACGAAGTTAATGAATGGGAGAAGCTATTTGTTAATTACCATTCGTAATTAGATGTTTCTTCCCCTATGTCCATTAGCCTACTTATAAGTAGCATACAGCGTTTATTTTCCCAACAGTTAGACTTTTGTTTTTTGTGCATCCCACAGCGACTATATTCATGAAATTTATATTTTCTGCTATCGTATTTACCGTACCTTTATTGTTGTGATTTCTAACTATTAATTCATTAGGTTGCATTTTCCCATTGGCATAAAAGTTTTCTGAGCGCTTGTTCTGCGAGTAAACGCCTGCCGCTAGTAGGGCTCGAACCGCAGACCGTCCCCGGGCCGACACACGTCACCCGTACACCACACGCGTGATCCAAATGATGGTTTACTGCTTTTATCAATGCTGCCCTCTGATACGCATACCTCTGATTAACATCGCCTCTTTGTATCGCATTCCGACTAGTTAACATTTACTACATTTCACCCCAATCCATTGTAATTTGCCTCTCCGTCGTTTTATTCCAGAACTAAAATGTAACCCTTTTCTATTGTATTGTATTGTATTCCGTACTGCAACCTCTCCCAGTTTGAATTTCACTGCTGCGCTACTGTTACGCTTAGCTTTCTGTCTGTAAATCTTCTTCCTAACATTCCTGTCACGGACTGTTACTGCTGCCCTGTAATTTGGTTGCTCACCTGGCTGTAAGTTACTTTTTATGCTTCATTATTACTGTGTGATTTTATAAACACGATTATTACCATTGTCCATAAACATTGTTACTTTATGAAACTTCGTTCTGCTGCCCGTAGCCGTGTTCTTCCCATATCATGCGCATAGCTATAGGAACTAAGTTACCGAGGAATTTCAGTCTGATACAGTGTGACAGCACACTATCAGTGAACGGAGTGGACTACCCTTTGACCCATATAGTTGTCGTACACACTTGAAATATGTATGTTTAGCACTGGTTTTCAGTGCTTATAGACAAGAAAGATGCTAACTGTTTGTGGTAGGTGAAGTGTTGGTTTTCAATCCTACTTCTTCAAAGTCACACCACACGAAACTTGGTGATAAATATCCACTCGATTTCAACCAGCTTCATACATCTGTATGGTTTACAATACCAATGGTATCCAGTGGCGCTTGATCTAATTCTGTATGATAGCTATTGGACACAGCTGGACGACATTGCCCGAAAACGGAACTATCCTTGTAGTGTAATCACGTAGCACGATACCGGAAAGTCGGGCAGTCGATGGTCAACAGTATGGGAAACGCGTGATGTAATGCGGCAAAGAGACAGTGCTGGGGGCGGGAGTAGGCAGCAGTTGGTGGGACATATCAGCAAAATGCTAATCCGCATTTTATAGAAGATTGAATGCGATGTTGAAAGGTCTAATGAGCGCGCCGCATGCACCAGATGAATGAGGCTGGTTTAGGTCAATTCGCGGAATGGGAGCTCGAGGGTCGGTTATTTTTCGTGTATCCGATGGGAGTAATAAATGTGTTTGGGTAGGTTGTCGTGTCCCCGTGGGGACATGCCCCTTCTGTTTGGTCTCTATCATGTACTGAACTCTCATTTGTG